GGGGACCTGTGTCATCTTTCATTTCTATTATGTCTGTCTCTTTTCACCGTGACCTGTTAACTGAAGCATAAATGCCAAACACTAGTCTACAAAAAGAGCAGATCTCGGGCAAAACCTAATTTATTTTGGTCAAAGGTCAAAAGAAACTTTATCTTCAGTCAAGAACTCAGCTGTAGTCATACAAATTATGATTACATAAAACGCATAACTAATTGCAACAAAAAATATATTTCAAAGTTCATTTATACACATTAAAAAACTAAATTATGAATACAATGTGTATATCTTGACACAAAAATCTCATTTTGGAATATTGTTCAATAGGGACTCCAACCGTTTTCAAACTAACTGCACTAAGGGAAAGTTCATGGTCTGGCTTCACGTAGAAAAAAAAAATCTCTCACCACAAAACCGATACTGGATACAAACCCAGTCTACAGTGTTAGAGTCATGCACCCTGCAGCCCTGCATCAACCCCAACCACCTGGCGATTCTACAATATTATATGTGGTGTTTCATTAACTTAAAAGAAAAAGTTGCCTTTTGCTGAACTGCTCTGGTCCACCTTTACTCTTGCAGCTGAGCAGAAACCGGCCCAGTCACATCAGTAACGGCAAAAAATCAATGTTATTCATGTTATGAATTTAATTTCAAGGAAAGATAGTTGTACAATCTATAATAAAAACAAATATATAAAATGAACAAGGGTAATACATATCAGCATCGCATATACACTATATAAAAATATGAGAATGATTTAGTACTAGTAGCAGTAGTATTTGACTGCTGTTTCCCATTCTCTGTATGTAAGAACCAGGGTCAACAGGCTATTCCAGAATCAGCAAATTTGATATCTTTGTTCTTGACAGACCCAAGAGAATTACCTGTATTCAGTCATTGGGGCTCTGAGCTTGTGGTCACTGTATCAAGAAATTACATCAGTACTTGAAACCACATATGAATGAAACAGATAAAAAAAAAACAATTTCATTTTAACAAGAGCTTCTGTGAGATGGCTAGCAGAATTTTACATAGATGGATCACAGTAAAGGCAATATCAAGAAAGAAGCTCTTTGTCAGAGCCCTAGGCAGGAATGAGAAATTATATCATTTTAAGTCATTTTGGCACAATGGACATTGCCTCTGTTTCTGATAGCCCTTATTGTTTAATTTATTTATTTTGGTCATGATTTTCTATCCAGGTAGCACGGTGGCACAGCGGTTAGCGCTGTTGCTTCACTAGAAGGTCCTGAATTCAATTCCACCATTAGGCCAGGGTCTTTCTGTGTGGAATTTGCATGTTCTCCCCTGTGTTTACGTGGGTTCTCTGGCTTCCTCCCACAGTCCAAAGACATGGAGTTAGAGGGGACAGGTTAATCTGAAACACTAAATTGCCTATAGGTGTGAATGTGAGTGTGAATGGTTGTCTGTGTCAATGGTTAGCCCTGTGACAGACTGGTGACCTGTCCAGGTTGTACCCTGCCTCTCGCCCTAAGACAGCCGGGATAGGCTCCAGGGCACCCCGCGAACCTGAAAAGGATAAGCGGATGGATGGATTTTCTAATCCTAATAAATCAGAATGTTATGATCATGGCATTTCCATTCTTTCCATTTCCTATTGTGTGTGTTTAAAAATAATATATATGTATATATATAATTTTTATTGTTATCCATGCCAATGTTGTTTATACTAAATGACTAGGTTTGACTTGGATATGTAACTGAAGCTGGAACTCTAAATAATATTTTGAACCAGTTAAAATGCTAATCCATTTGTGGAGTATTGGGGCATTTGAATGATATGATGAGAATGACACTTATTGATGTGTAAATGACCAAAGCACAGCAGGATTCAACACAACACTTTTTGAAAAACAGCAGCTGCTGATGTTGTTTCCTATAGCTCACTGGGATTCCCATTCCAAAGGTGTTCTTCCCACTTCCAGATTACATTTGATAGTGCTCAAAGGCTCACAAAGATTCAGGTATTTTTTTTTAGACAACAAAGGGACAGAGGTTTTATTCTGTATATAGCCTTGTGTTTATTTTGTGGATATTTTCACATTGTTAAGTAAAAAAGTGATGAAAAGCTTAATACAGTCATTTAACAATATATACTATATCTTTGTGACATGACAACACGATTTTTATTAGAGATGGATGATCCAATATTAGTATGGATATGGGTCCAATACTGACCTAAATTACTGGATTGGATACTGGAGAGAAATAAAAAATGTAATCGATCCGAAGTATCACAAAATCACCTCACAAAACGCGCTATTTGGCGTAACCCAGCTTGGCGCATCGGCGCAGTATGTGTGAAGTGATAGAGCGGCTGTTGTTTGCGAGACCTTTCGGCGGTCTGTTGGAGCATTTGGAGCCTCGCTACATGCTTCCTAACCGCAGCATTTCATCTCGGCGAAAACTATCCCAGAGAAGTAAAGCAAGTGTGTAAGTTCATCCCTGGATGTTTGCATAGTATTTCCACGTTAAGCTTAACAACTGAGATATTGAGCCACAGCTGGACTGGGCATCGGAGTTCCATATTGAGGTGAAAAGGAAGCGATTTGTCCCATACTTCAGCTAGAATTAAAAAGTAGACACAAAGCTGGAGTTATTCTGTCTTTGCTGTGCAGTTGCATCTACTTCTCTCATTCTCTCCCCCTTCCTCTCCTGTTATTACTTCAAACATGAAACTGATCAATGATCAGCTGATCGGCTTTTCTGCCGCAAGTCCGTCTTTCTTGTTTGTTTATTGCCCACTTTGCGTTAGAAAGAGGAGACCAGCGGATAAACAACAGCAGCACGTTTAAGCGTGATAAGCTGTTGTTAGAATTTATTTAATATTACTTTCTAGTATCAGCTGATGTTTGCTGGAGCCACGGCTGTAAAAGCTGCTGGTCATGATATCTGTTTGGATATGTGGTGAGATGGAAACATGAAGATGAAACCAGGAGATGTCCTTACTGAATCATCAGAGCTGAGCAGGTGATGGAGAAACAGGTTTACCTTTTAGGTGACATGAATGAGTTGAAGGGAAGTTATGATCTGTTTCTGAGAGACAAATAACCCCAGGATCCTTTTCTACATAGCTGACGGCAGGTAACTGTGCAGGGGCGGGTCTAGCAAAGTTTTGCCAGGGGGGCAGGTAGGGCATTAGCAGGGAAAGGGGTTACGTCATTTTAAAACTGAATAAATAATTATCTGAATCTTACAACAAAAGTGGTCATCTGATTAAATGTATAGAAATCCATTATTGTATATAGTAACTAAAAAGTCTAATATACACCCCAGTAAGCTATAGTACTTTTTCCTTTGGGAAGGTACTATCTGTGCAGTCTGCAATTAAGTTGAAGAAAGATGTTGAATCTATTTAATTGTTGTGGAAAAATAATTGATTTCTGTGCATTTGTTTTACACTTGCATTAAATTAAAGTTGATTACATCGATTAAGGGCGGCGGGTTGTTTCCTAATATTTTTGCTGGGAGTTGGCAACCCTATTAGTTAGGTAGGTAAGTACTCTTTAAAATACCAGAATAGGGAGGATGGTGTAGGTTGAAATTTATTAGATTGATCAGTGTTGCTGAACTATAAAATGTTTTGGGTGCAGTGTATTTTTTGCATACAGGTATAACAGAATAGCTTCAGTCTCTTGTTTTTTAAAACTTGAGTATGAACTTTAAATTAAAAAGTGGTATCGTGCCATCTCTAATTTTTATTATGACTTTTTCCTGACCTCATTTTTTGCAGACTGCATGCAGCTGTATTCCATACAATTGGATTTTCTCTGCTGATTGGTGTTTGCACCTAACGAATTTCTATGTAAAGCCATGTAATTTTTTCTTCCTTCATCTGGAATGTGCTGATGACTGATCATAACTGAGATTAAAAAAATGAAATAGAAGTTTAATCATTAACCTAGAGCTGATTAACTCAGAGAAAAGCTAATTAGAGTAAGTCCACCAAACTGTGAGCATGTTCACCTTGAGTTAAGCTTTCGTGAGTAGAGAAAGAAAGCCATCATCAATGGAGCTCACTTGGTAACAGGCAATGGCGTGTCCAGCGGGGTGGCCTGGGGGGGCACAGGCCACCCCCCAAATCAGACTGGCCACTCCAGGTGCCACCCCGAAGCTAAAACAATAAACTTCAATTAAATATCAAATGTACGATTACGTTTTCGTAGTGAAGCTCAGATATCAGAGTGTAAGTGAATGCAGCATCGGCAAAGGAAGGAGAAAGACAGCACCACAGAAAGCTATTTTCCGGCGAAAGAAAATGATGAGAGAATAAATGTCCTGGTAAGTAATATTAAGTTTGTTGAGTTTAGTAAACTTCGGTGAAATTAGAATACCAAGGAAAAAATAACACTTAAAGAATTATTGCAACCGCCGAATATTTCAGTAGGCTACTGGGGGGAGCTAGCATAAGAGTTATTAGTTATAAGATATAATCCAAATCGTAACATTGCTGTGTGGAGCTGCAGATTTGGTTGCAGGTTAATACTGGCAGTGTCGCCATGCCACCTGACTGTATTTCATCATCAGCCAGTGTTGTTCTTTATACATCAATATTACCAAAGTTTGTGCCATGTTCAATGCAGGGATGTGCAGTTCTGGTCCTCCTGGTTTCAGATGTTTCCATACTTCAACACAGCTGATTTAAAGAATCATTTACAGACTTGTGCACAACTAGGTGTTTGGGGATTATTTGATTTGAATTGGCTATGTTGGTATAGGTAACATCTAAAACGTGCATGATAGGGGTCCATGAGGGCCAGAATTTGACATCCCTGACTTCTAGTCAAGGTCATACATCAGGAAAGTTGTTGTTTGTGACATAAGTTTTTGCTTTATTACTTCAGGGCCAACCAATAGAGATAAAAGAATAGAAAGAATGAAAAGATCTCAAAATATTGAGAATTTCTTCCTTAAGAAGGCTAAAATACAACCAGAAGCAGAGAGCAATGTCAGGGAAAGGTGGACTGAGCAGCAGTCATCATTATCACCTTGAGTTCTACAAATGAAGGTATGTGGAGAATGAATAAGGAAAATGCAAGGAAGGGATGTTTATATTGTCAATGTTCAACCGATCCATAGGGGACGAATCCTAATATTTGGGGATAAATAATTAAATAAGATGAATATATGTATTGTGTACATAATTGGAAATTAAAACAAAATCCTGCTTTAAATAACATGTTTTTTTATTTAATGAAATGTAATATTTTTATATTATCCCACGCACTTCTTCACCTGTTCATGATCCACCAGATAACCAGGATGTGGTGCCTTTTGAAACATCTTCTCCTACAACATCATGTACGACACCGGGCCATCCACATGGTATTTAACCTCCAATCTTACTTTATAGATTAATATTGAAAGCCTTTAATTGTGCATTAAATATTTTATAATATTGATACTGTCACTTTTGCAAGAGATGTTGTTCTAGATTAAAAACAATTCTTCATTGATTTTTAAATTGAATCCTCCCATACTTAGATATATCTCAAAATCCAGCGGAGGGACCTAGACAGCCACACTTGAAGATATTTCCTCGAACAGTACATGGTGAAAAGAGGAGGGCCTTCAGCAAGACATGGTATTCACAACACAAATGGCTGGAATATTCTCAAAGTCGGGACTCTGTCTATTGTTTTGCATGTAGACACTTTTCCCTTCCAAATGCTTCTGAAACTCCTTTTACATCACATGAAGGGTACTCAAACTGGAAGAAGGCAATGTATAAAGATGGAGGTTTTAAGGGGCATGAGAAATCTGAAGGTCATACGAATGCCATGTATGCTTGGAGTGAACATAAGAAAAACATTTTGACAGATTCATCTGTGCGTGATGCTTTGGACAAGGCATATAAAAAAAAAGTAGAGGAAAATCGCATATATATCAAAACTGTTGCTGAAGTACTTCTCCTTACAGCTATGCAAAACCTCTCCCAAAGGGGGCATCTTGAGACAGATACATCACAAAACAAAGGGAACTTTTTAGAGTTAATGGAACTTCTTTCTAAGCATAATCCACTGATTGCAAAAAAAAATGAAAGCTGCAGGAAATGCAAAATATACCAGTAACACCATTCAGAATGAAGTAATCGAATGTCTGTCAGAGATGGTACGTGAAGACATTATCAGAGAAGTAAAGGAGAGTGAGTACTTCTCTGTGATTGCAGATGAAACAAAAGCCCTAAAGAAAACAGAGCAACTGACATTAGTACTAAGGTATTACTACAATGGGGCTGTTCAAGAGAGTTTTTTAGAGTTCCAGAGAGCAAGTCAGCTAGATGTGGCAGGGCTCACTCAAAATATATACAGTGTCTGGAAAGGTATGGCCTTGAATATAGATCCAATCTTGTAGGCCAAGGATATGATGGGGCGTCAGGAATGGCAGGGAAATGCAGGGGTGTTGCAGCCAGGATCAAAACAGAGGCAAAACATGCATTTTATGTACATTGCAATGCACATTGCCTTAACCTTGTTATCGTTGATGCAGTGAAAGCAGTCCCTGAAGCACACTGCTTTTTTTCATTGTTGCAGAAATTGTATGTCTACATGTCAGGTTCATATGTTCACCAAAAATGGATCACAGTTCAAAAAGACATGTATCCAGAGGCTCCTAGAGAGCTTCAGAGACTCAGTGATACCAGGTGGGCATGTCGTTACAGTGCATGCAAAACTGTAATGGACAGATTACCAGCTATATTAAGAGTGCTACATGAGATAGATTTAGAGAACAGCGGTGACAAATCAGTGGAGGCACGGGGTCTGTTGGCACAAATTGACCTCACATTTATTGGCAATTTATCCACATTTAGAAAAATTCTAGGGGAAATTAAGTTGCTTTCTGATGTACTTCAGTCTCCATCTCTTGATCTAGCAAAGGCTGTAGACCTAATTCATGCACTTCAAGACACCTTGGACCAATATAGAAGTGAATCCTGTTTTGATGAGCTGTGGCAAGACGCAATGGATATTGCAGAACAGTGTACTGTTGCCTCTGAGACAGTTAAGAGAAGGGTGCAGAGAGAGAGCCTCAGGCTAAAGGGTTATTTTGTAGATTCTCCAATCGGGCAACACAGGTGTAAGGAGGATGACAAGGACAAGTTTAAGAGGGAAGTATTTTACCCCATTCTTGACCATGTACATGCAGAGATGGAGAAGCGCTTCAACAAGACCAATTGTGATATTATGAGGGGTATACAGGCACTAAACCCCAAGAGTAAGAGCTTTTTGTCAGAGGAAATAGTTGTAAGCTTGGCTGGTCTGTATGACTGTGATATTGAAGACCTCAAACATGAGCTGTATCAAGCTAGAAAGGTTGTTCAAAGGAGAGCAGGGTGTGGGAATGAACTCTCCAGTATTTTGGGGTTTACTACCTTCCTAGAGCCTTACAAAGAGGTGTTTCATCAGCTTTTTCGTTTATGTCGAATAGCTTTAGCTTTACCTGTCAGCAGTGCTACTTGTGAACGTAGCTTTTCAGTGCTAAAGCTTATAAAAAAATCATCTACGAACAACTATGACTGATGAGAGGCTTAGCAATATTGGAGTTTTGAGTATTGAGAGGAAAAGGGCAATATCATTAAGCCTGGATGACTTTGTAACACGTTTTGCCACCCGTCACCGTAACAGGCGGATCTACCTATTCTAAGTCATTGATAATATTTAATGAAGCATAGAGTAGGTACTTGAGTAAATGTTCTCTTTCAAAACATAAATATTTTGCAACTACAAGTGCTGCTGTTCACAAATGTTTTTGTACTTCTTGTCTTCTTAACATGTAACAGAGTCTTATTAAAAGTTCAGTATATTTTAATAAGTTTAAATAAGTTTGCATTGCATTGGCTAATTTGCCAATTGTATGTTAAAAATGTTTGTAGTTTAATGTTCAAAAATGTTTTAGCCCAAAACATATGTGCACTATTTGTCAGTAAAAATACTTGTCCTTGAATGCTGAATAAACACTGACAAAGCACTGATTGTATCTCTTGTACTTTATCAACACAGTATCTAAAAACTTTGCACCGTAGTGGTTAAAATCTCATTCTAATAAGAGTTAAAAGCGCATTCGGTTATTAGGTTTATAGGATTATTGAATTATGGTTAACGGTTGGTAGAATTTTTTTAACATTATCTGCCAATTACATCTGCCACCCTTCTCCAAATCTGTGCCCCTACCTGGCCCCCCCAACAAAAATTTTCTAGACACGCCACTGGTAACAGGCAAATAAAGAACAAAGCCTTAATTTTCAAATCAGTGGACTAAGAAATATGAGTGTGTGTCAGTGTGGACATTGATGTTTATCTTTAAAAAAAAAAAGACTAATTGTAATCAAGATTGGGCCACTCTGTCATCACCATAGACTGTAGACAAATTTGATAATAAGAAAATCTTATTTTTTTGTGTGAGTTTATTCTCG